TAGATAGATAGATAGATAGATAGATAGATAGATAGATAGATAGATAGATACATACATACATACATACATAGAGCTGATATATATATATACATATATATAGATATGTATATATGTACATATATGTATGTACACACGCCTGCCTAGAATTTCTTAGTGAGGAGTTAGCGGTGTGGCTTAATGATAGAATACTTGCTGCCTAGAATTTCTCAGTGAAGGGCTGGGAGCATGTCTCTTATATTTATGGTTGTGAGCCTAGCCTTTAACGGCTGAGCCATCTCTCCAGCAAAGAGGGGGCGGGGCATGTCTCAATAGTAGAGTATTTGCCTAGAATCCCCAGAGTTGCTGGGGGCATGGCTCACTGACCAGACAGCCTAGCCAAATTGGTGCACTCCAAGCCCCAGGAAAAAGATCCTGTTTCAAGATGAGTAGTACCTAAGAAATGACGACCAAGGTTGACCTCTGGCCTTCACATGCAAACACACACACACACACACACACACTAACATAAAGAATGCATGCCCACTCTATCAAGAATACATGGAATTTGGTTCCTAATGCAATGGGTTTTTTTTTTTTCCTTATCTTTTTTTTCCTTTCTTTCTGTGGCATGACTTCTTCCCATTATGAAAGACTCCCACTTAGAGGCCTCACAAAAAAACATCACGCCTCCCAGCACAATGTGACAACTATGAATTCTATATTTCGTGGTCCATGTGTTCCCATTTTTCCCCCCAATTTCATCTGTGAGAGGCACAACAAAGCAGCACAAATTTCCTCTGGATTGTAATGTGCTTACTTAGAAAGCTCCTGGAAACCACTGGCGAAGACAAATAAGAGTTCAAGTCCATGGGCAAAGGCTGAGGTAGTCTCTGCCAGAGACCGTTGCCACCGGAATCTCTTGAGATGACCCCACTGGATTAGTTATTTTTCTCACCGCTGCGACAAAACACCTGTCTGAAGGGACTCTGAGGAAGGAAGGCAGATTGCCCGAGAACACAGCCTGCCAGGCGGTGAGGGCAGGGCATGGCGGTCAAGTGTGAGGCAGCTGGTCACATGGCATCCACAGGAAACAGAGAGAGACGGGCGCTGCAGCTCAGCTCGCTCTTTCCATTTTAGTGTGTCTGGGACTCCAGCCAGCGGGGCAGAGCTGTCCACAGTTAGGGTGGACTGTCCCTCCCCAATTCACCCAATCTAGAAACCTCCTCACAGACACTTCCAGAGCTCTGTTTCCTAAGTGAGTCCAGATCTTGTCAAGCTGACCATCAATACTAACACACACACACACACACACACACGTTCACAAGCACACACGCATATCTGCGCATGTGCATACCCCCAAAAGCTTATTTTCCAACAGGACCCCTTGCTCTTGGGGGGGGCACTTATAGTACAAGGACCTGAGTTTTCTTCCTTGAACCCTCATTTAAAAGGCCAAGCTTGATGGAGCACACTTAGAACCCCAGCATTGAGGAGGTGCATTGCTGAGGCTTAGTGGCCACTCAGCCTGGCCTTTTTTGGCCAGTTCCATAAAGACATCCAATTTTGTCTCCATAAAAACATCCAATTTTGACCTCTGTTTTTCACATACATGTTTGCACACAGGTACACACACACATGATACTGGTTTCAAGACAGTCATGTAAAAGAAGAGTAATAATACAGAGGATGGTAATGAATATCACAGAGAAATCAAGCTTGAAAAAGGCCAGCTGGGTGTCAGAGGAAGGGCATTAAAGCTGCTAACGACAGCCCAGTCAGGGAAGGAAGTGTCCTCAGGGGGACAAAGAAGTGAGAGTCAAGGCTGCCTCTCAGGGAGGATGCCTGGGGGAAGGGTATAACAATTTCTGTATTAACAAGAGCTTTTTATTCCCACAATAACCAACCAGGACATGGAATATTGAAGGGAATCTATTTATAACAGCAACAATACTATATCAGCTCCAGCAATAAGACTGTTAGGACGTTTTATAAGGGGATAAAAGGCAACCTACATAAACCAGCACTGAAGATGTGTCTCCTAATTGGAAGACAGAACAGTAGAAAAATACAATACTACACAATACAATTGAGCCTCACCGGGAAGGGTGATAGGATTTGAACTCAGAGCCTTGCACATGTAAGCTGGGCAACCACACTTGTATTCGGCTAAACTCTAAGCTCTTTTTAAAAAAAAATACATTTATTTATTCGTGTGTGTGTGTGTGTGTGTGTGTGCGCGCGCGCGCGTGTGTGTAGAGGCCTTAGGACAACTTGTGACAGTCGGTTCTCTCCTACCATATATGTCCTGGGGATTGAACTCAGCTGAACAAGCTAAACTTACTTGGTGGCAAGTAATGTGTGTGCATCCGTGTGGGTTGTGTACACAAAAGTGCAGGTGCCGGTAAGGACCAGTAGAGGGCATCAGATGCCCGGAGTTGAAGTTATAGGCAGTTGTGAGCCTACAACTCATGAGTGCTGGAACCCAAAGCCAGGATCCGTAAAAGAGCAGTTCATGTTCTTAACACTGAGTCATTTCTCCAGTCTCTACTGACTTCTTTCATTGCTGTTGCTTAAATCTGGAAGATAATAAAGGGTGGTAAGATTACAATAACGAAAAGGTAAGAAAAACTACTTTTTTTTTTCTTCAAAAGAAAGAAATAGAGCTGGAGAGAGGAGTCTGTGGATGAGGATGCTTGCTCTGCCAGCAGGAGGAATGTGAGCTCAGATTCTTGTACCCATGTAAAAAACCAGGCGTGACTGCACATGAATCTGTAACCCCAGCACTGTGGTGAGCTGAGACAGGAGCATTGCTAGTATTGGCCGACCGCTTGCTTGGCCCCAAACTAGGGGTGCTATTTCAGGTGGTTCTTGAAGCTGTAGGAGGTGGGGCTCGGCTTGGGAAGTGATTTCAGAAGGCCTTAAAGGCTGTAACGGATCTGACAGCCTCTCGTGACCCATTTCCTGTTGGAGAGGAAGTGCCTCACACCCCCACCACAACACTCTCTCTGCCTATGCACATGGGGACTAACTGACCATGGACTGGACCCCCCCTGAAATCAGGCACCCAAATAAATCTTCCTTGTCCTGGGTGGGTTTT